GTGCAAAATAATTTCTGAACATACTTAATTATTTAGGTGGCACCCTTGCTCACAGACTAGGTTTGTGAGAACAGCCATAGAGTTTTTAAGTCTGAGAAAAATGAAGTAAATATGAAAGTGTTATCAAGGACGGGGTAAAAATTTGTGAAGGACAAATTCCAGAAAGGGCTACCTGTTAAATTCTCATCGAAAAATGCCAAAATTTATGCATTTGCATGGTCATATACATGTGATATCCTTCCGAATGGAAAGGAATAGGGGTGTCACCTCTGAATTAAGAGCTGATTTAGTAGCTTGGTTAATAGACAGTTTAAATATGGAAATTCTCTACAATGGACTTATCTAAGTGGTGTAAATGAGAAGCCCTAAATAGAAATTTTGCAGTGATTTTGTTAGTTAGGCATGAAGGGTTTTCTGCTTAGGATGGATCAGAGGAGTGTGCAAAAGATGTGGAAGTGACTGACAGGATGCAGGCAGCAAATAGCAGGACATACAACAGAGAGCGTCTTCACTGAAAGTCAGGTAGTTCTTAGAGTAAGTATGAAGTAAACTTGGGTTCTGATTGCTTCACTGAGGTGATCAACACCAGCTCTGGCAACAATCAGTATTCCACATCCCTGCCAACCCATAATTTTTGTGTTCCATACTTGAGATCTAATTTGATTATCTCTAATTATGCCCCATTCTCATGAAGCTGAAATTTTCAATTTTTTTGTACCAAGGATCAAACGCATGACCTATGCTTTCCAGGCAGGTGTTCATGACACTGAGCTAAATATGCAACTATGAAAATATTTTCTGTGTAGTATGGACGATATCCACATTGTTTCTGAGAAAGTGTTGAATATTGTTGGAATTTTTCTCTACTGTGTGGCTATAATTTTTTTAAAACTAACCAAAGGTGTGTTATGCAGTCTCTTTTTAAGTTTCACTTTGTCTGTTCGGTGTCTCAATCAGGGTTTTCTATTTTAGACAGCTCTGTAAGTTAGGAAAGCCCCAAATTCAAGGAAGAAATCCTTCACCAGTCTCCCAAAATATATTTCTTATATTTGAATTGAAAGTGATCACTTGGTGACAGTGATGTTTAATTTACAGCTTGGGCCTGGTTTCATTTTATATATATATTTTAAAAATACAGCTGTTTTCCACTAACACTTGAGTTATTATTTATATACCATATTTGATGTTATTTATGTTTTGTTCTACGAAACCAAATTCATGTTTCAAAATGCTGCTTAAGTATATTAAGAACAAAGTACTCATTGGCCTAAATGAGATTTGAACAGACATCATCTGTAGTCTATCAAAGTGATTACTGAGATTTTTTATTTAATTTTGAAATTGGTAAAATAGAACAGAACAAGGCAGCTTAAGATCAACTAAGATCACACAGTCGAATTGGTACACAACTTCACAACAGGTTACTGGGATAACAGTAATATGTATCACAGTATATTTTGTTATCTTTATCATAGTTGTTCTTTAATCACATATATCAAAATGAGATGAAATGCAGAACATTATAGAACTTATCAAAACAGAATATTGAATAGAGCAGTACCATTAATCAGAATAGAGTGAAACAATAATAAAAACATTTTCCTTCAAGGAGATAGTAGAAGGAAGTCCCCCTTATTTGCTATGGTCTACCTCCCAGGAGATGCTCAGATTTCTGGTTCCCATTTGCTAATGTGGGGTGACAGGAGAAGAGGGGTAGGGAAGTGGGATGTTTGATTCTAGGTGGTGCATCAGTAGGTTCAGTGTTGCTTACTAGGGAGACAGGCTGGTTGTTTGGTTTCACAGCACCCTAATTTCCAACATAGAACTGATCTTAGGAGCTGCTGATGGTTATCCCCCTGGAAGGGCTGCAGTTTTCCAGACTGCCACCGCTGACCAGGAGGGGAGGTGCTTGCTTGGCTTCCCAGGCAATTGATGAGACATTTATCTGCCTCTGTGCTTTGTGGTTGCTGGTCCTGCAGGCTTCTCACTGTGAGCTCTGCTTTAGAGAAAGAGCACAGGGAATCTTGCCATGACTCAGCACAAGAATCAGTGCTCCTATTTGGCTGTTATATTAGCAGTGAGTTGCAATCTAGTATCAAATTTGCTGTCTTCAAAAATGTATATAGACACAAAATTAACTACCAAGACATGGATTTAAATTTGAACAAATCAGTCTTCATTCAGCCGTTTTGTTTGGCTTTATTTGTTGAGTTTAGTTTTGTTTTATTGAGACAAGCTTTCTGTATGTATATCAGCTGGATTTGAACACCCTATAGAGCCTATAATTGGCCTGACATCACTGATGCCTTCCTGTCTCGCCTTTTGAGTGCTGGGATTATAGATATGCACTACCACACTTTGCTTTTGATTCAGATTTGTAGGAGAGAATTTAAGATATCGCAAACCTGGGGTCTCAAGCTTCCTTTGAGAGATATATGTATGATCCTTTAGGCGGCGGTAATCTTTGAGGATGTGGTTGTGAACTTCAGCAATGAGGAGTGGAGTTTGCTGAGTCCATCCCAAAAGAATCTCTACATGGATGTGATGGGTGAAATCTTTAGGAACATGGCTGCAATAGGTAAGGATGAATTGTTTTTGGCACTCATGCTGTCAGAATATTGTTTGTTGCTCATTAGTGCTGTTTTGTTAAAAAGAATATGAAAATATTTTTAAAAATAGCTCAGACCTGGACACATTATATCATAAATCTAAACAAAATCTATTAATTTGTATGTATTACTCAACTGAGTCCTGGTATTTCTATGTCTACAATTCAGGAGGAATTGGGGATATCCAGGAAGCTGAAAAAGAATGCAAAATTTACTGGAGATACTTAAGGTAATTCACACTCACAAGGAGAGGAATGTTCTTGAGTATTTAGTGAGTCAGCAGAAAAATTACCACCAAAGAAATGAGGCACCATTCAATTTAATGTCAGTAATATTCTCCAAAGATGTATAAGCTAGTGTATATATGAGGGAATTAAATCATGAAAATGTATGACATTGCATATAGATCTGTACGAAAGGCATACACTTTGAGTTATGAAATTCTGCCTTCAGTTTTTCTACCCATGTGTACATGTGAATACAACACATTCATTATCTAACAATTGCTAAGATTGCAATAGAATTTGAAATAAAACTGAGTGCTCATGTTTCCAAGCCATGCTCTAGACAATTGGCGATTCTGACTAATATTCTTAGTAGTCTGGTAGAATGTTGGTGCACTCATTTTGAATATCAGTATGCAGTTGTCTCTAGAAATTGATCCCCTCATACTTGTCCTGGATATTTTTAAAATCTCAAAATCTGCATAAAATACTGATACATGCTTAGTCATATACAAAGCAGATCAAGTTATGACAGATCAGGCCTTGAAGCTTATCTATCTATCACTGGATTTGCGGAGAAGGAAAATTTTAATAGACTCTCTGTGATTTTACATTCTTGTAAACCCAGCACACTAGGGTTTGCAAATCTGTTTGCAGAATGGCAATTTCAAGTTCAAACTTCACAGCTTAATGATCTATGAAAATATCTTAAAATAGATTTTTAAAAAGCTATAGATTTATGCTAATATCTGTTGCTCATTCCCAGCCCAGAATGGAAAAAATGTGTTATATAATGTCAAAAATAAATAATATAGTGTCATTTGCCATAAGAATTAGATGGGTCTTTCACCCATCAATTCAGTGAAATAGCTCAGCTATAAAACCTAAAAGGTCACTGGCTTTCTTTTAGAGGAGAAACCAAAATACAAAATGTGGAAAGAAATGAAACAGAGTTGTTAGAGAAAAGTAAGACTGACCAGATGGAAAAGGGAACTACAGGTTAAGGACAGAAGGAAGATTGTGATGGGGAAACATATGAGAATAATCTGCATGTGATACATATATGTACCCATTCCCAAAGTGAAGGTAAAGATTATGCATTTCAAAGTACCAACTTTTAAGATTTCCAAATGTGTACCAGTCTTGGGGATGGTTGTTTTCAACATATCTTACAAGGCTATTCTGTTGCTTCTTGGTCAGAATTTCTTAGCAGGCATTAAAAACAGAACTTGATATTAATGCAGTCATTAAATGGAGACCAATTTCACAGTGAATTTTTCTTTTTTTAAATTTAATATAAGGAAAGATTAAATAAGACAAAATAAGTAGAAATAATACTGCTTTCAAAGTGAAAAAAAAAACAGTAACAAATAGCAATATGATGATTACGAATGCTGATCATAGAAATAGTTATGAAATACAAAAGTGAAACATATCAAGTGGGGATTCAAACAATGAGACTGCAAACAGTTTTGTTCAACTCTCGAAAAAACCTTAGTGATATGGTTATAAATCCTATATGTGATTTATTCTTTCCAGAAATGACAAGCTAGGGAAATCTTATGGACATACATCTTGGAAGCAGTGTAAAGAAGTATTTCTTTGTAATGCAGAAGGTAATGTGAATGTGAAAGAAACAGAAACACACCACGATGTTCAGATCCATGAAAAATATTGCAGTGGAGAGAAACCCTATGTATGTAAGCAATGTGGGAAAGCTTTTACCAGACCTGGACGTTGTAAGGCACATGAAAGAATTCACACTGGAGAGAAACCCTATGTATGTAAGCAATGTGGGAAAGCTTTTACCAGACCTGAATGTTGTAAGCAACATGAAAGAATTCACACTGGAGATAAACCATATGTATGTAAGCAATGTGGGAAAGCTTTTAACACATGGGGAGACTGTAAGAAACATGAAAGAATTCACACTGGAGAGAAACCATATGTATGTAAGCAATGTGGGAAAGCTTTTAACAAACATGCAAATTGTAAGGTTCATGAAAGAATTCACACTGGAGAGAAACCCTATGTATGTAAGCAATGTGGGAAAGCTTTTAAAACACAGGGAGATTGTAAGAATCATGAAAGAATTCACACTGGAGAGAAACCCTATGTATGTAAGGAATGTGGGAAAGCTTTTACCAGACCTGGATGTTGTAAGAAACATGAAAGAATTCACACTGGAGAGAAACCCTCTGTATGTAAGCAATGTGGGAAAGCTTTTACCAGACTTGGATTTTGTAAGGAACATGAAAGAATTCACACTGGAGAGAAACCATATGTATGTAAGCAATGTGGGAAAGCTTTTAACACATGGGGATACTGTAAGCAACATGAAAGAATTCACACTGGAGAGAAACCCTATGTATGTAAGCAATGTGGGAAAGCTTTTAACACACGTGCAAATTGTAAGGTTCATGAAAGAATTCACACAGGAGAGAAACCCTATGTATGTAAGCAATGTGGGAAAGCTTTTACCAGACTTGATCATTGTAAGGAACATGAAAGAATTCACACTGGAGAGAAAGTATATGCATGTAAGCAATGTGGGAAAGCTTTTAACACACGTGCACATTGTAAGGTTCATGCAAGAATTCACACTGGAGAGAAACCATATGTATGTAAGCAATGTGGGAAAGCTTTTACCAGACCTGGACGTTGTAAGGAACATGAAAGAATTCACACTGGAGAGAAACCATATGTAAGTAAGCAATATGGGAAAGCTTTTAACACACGTGCAAATTGTAAGGTTCATGAAAGAATTCACACTGGAGAGAAACCATATGTGTGTAATCAATGTGGGAAAGCTTTTAAAACACAGGGAGATTGTAAGAAAAACGAAAGTTCACATTCAATATAAAACCAGTGTATATAGGCATCATGAGAATGGTTTCAGCACATGTACATATTGCATAATGCATGAAAATCTTCACACTGGGCAGAAAACTTACATATGATAGGAATGTGGGAAAGGTTTCTGCAGAAATGCTCATTGTCCAATACATTATAAAATTTGCATGGTTGAGAAACCCTGTGTGTATGTGAAGAATGTGGGAAAGCTTTCACCACACATGGGTTTTGTAAAATACATCTATGACTTCACACTGGTGAGAAAGCCTATGTATATAACAATGTGGCAAAGCTTTTACTGCATATAGTCATTGCAAAACACATGAAAAAATTCACACTGGGAAGAACCACTGGCTATGTAAGCAAGTGGAGACACTTTCAGCAGCCAGATTGTAAGGGAAATACATGAAAAAAAAAACTCACACAAGAGATAAACCCTTTGTGTTATGGGAATACTCTCAGCATACTTGATCATTGTTACATATCTGAAAGAGCTCACTAGGCAGAGATGATATGTGGATTAACAATGTGAGAAATATAGCAATCCATGTTTCTTGTTAAATACATAGAAAAAGCATCACTGTTCAGACAGTTTAGATCTAAGTTTACTTTAAAAATCCCAAGGAGACCTGAAGAAATAATCGATACAGAAGTTAGATGTCAATATTTCTTCACAAATATTCCAGAAATGACAACTCTGATGTGGGTGCACATGTTGTATGGTTTTCAGTTAATCACTTGTACCTCTCTAGATTTATTAATCTAGATGTTTTTGTGCTTCAACATGGCATCTTGTAATTAAACATGCTAAACTGAAATGGGCTTTTCACTTTCAAGTATGGATAGTGCCTCCATACTTAATATTTTGTCTTTAGAACTTAAGTTTTGTATTTTCTGAATTGTAATGTTGTTTATTTAAAGAGAAAAAAAGTGTAGAAATAATACAGAATTTCAGAAAAATAAACAATAAGAAATCACTAGTTGATTAGTATTATATTGTCATCTTAGAAGTAGTTGTTCGTTACAAATTTAAAGCATACAAAGTGATATTCAAATAATGACACTGTCACGGTTCACCTCAATGATCCACCAAAAGTTATTAATATGCCTATCTGTCCTACACACTTTTTTTTTCTTAAAGAGGGTAAGATTAAACATAGCAAATCAGAGCAAAACAGTTCATAAGGAAACAAGTTAAGGAAACACAGATTTCAAAGCAAGCCCACTGGAAATGTTCACTGTCTATTTTACTGTCTCTAGTTTTTTTCCAAATAGTTGTTCCCATCCTCACACACATTGAATATATACTGAAGATTATAGAACTAATCAAATAATTACAGGATGATGCAAGCTTTTTCGATCTTCAAGACTGATTTGGGGGAAGTCGATAATGACTACAATAATGTCTGTCATGGTCTTTGTAGTAGCTGTCTTTATCTTTATGTATGCTGAAATGGAACATAAGAGACTAGACTAATATCATTCTGAACAGTGAATAATAGTATCTTGAGAAGGAGAAAGGTGAGGAATTGCCTTAAAAAAGAAGGCAGAGGACATAGTTAAAAGTGTATCAGGATTTAAAAGCTACAGTAGTCTTGTTGCTCTGTATAGTTTGGTTATATTTTGTTCTGGTCTGTCTATTCATATTAGATTTGAGGGCACAGAGAGATAACCCAAAAATAGCAGGTTATACCATGGTAATTATCCTTAATTTCCTATTAACTAAAACTGAATCCCTATATTACTTACATTGTCTTCTATGACTGATCTTCTTTCAAGCTGGATTGTTTCAATGTTATTTGGCCTTGACTGATTTTATTAACATTTGGTATGCTTGCTGGTATCAAGTTCAAGAGCAGAGGCAACTACTCTGAAGATGACAAGGTGTAAAAGATATCCATTGGTGGGCTGGGGATTTAGCTCAGTGGCTTAAGGCACCTGACTGGCAATTGTGAGGTCATGAGTTTGATCTCCAGAGCCAAAAAAATAAATAAATAAAAGATATCCATTCCAGGTTTGATTATTTTTTTTAATTAAAGAGAAGAAAGGAAATAAAAAACAAAGCAGTAAATGGGTACAAGTAATACAGAATTTCAAGAAAAAATACAGTAAGAAATCACTAGTTAATAGGTTATATATTGTCATTGCTAGGGTTATTTCCAAAAGATGAAAAATATTAACAAAAAATGAGAAATATAAAATAAAAAGTGGCCTTTATTCTGAGAACACGGAGAGAGATGACAGGCACCCCCATCGCTGGCGTCCAGTGATCTCTCTGGCGGACACGTGGCATGGGGGCCTGTAAATAGGCTTGGTTTGGGGTGGAACCTAAGGCGGGCATTAGGGATACACAGGTAGTCCATTGGTCTTAGGTTTGGCACCCTATGTAAATTTCCAGGGGTGGGAATATGGCATCACAGGTAACTTCCTAGGGCCAGGGGAGATGGGGCTTCCTGCTTCTGGTTGTGGCTCTCCTGGCTACAGTGTCCTATCTGGGCCAAAACCCTTTCAGTCATCTTAGAAACAGTTGTCCAAATTATAAAATTAAAGCATATAAAGTGGACATTCATACAGTGAGATTGCAGAAGGTTCTGTTCAGTGATCCAACAAAAGCTCAGTAATATGATTTTCCATCCTACACACTCAAGCATGCAGTTATATCCCTTAGACCACCTTCCTTTCCTCTCTTTTTTACAATAACAGTTACACGTTTTGAGTTTTTTTACTGCCACAGTTCTTATTACATTTTTTTGAAGAGAATAAATCCTAACATGACTAAATAAAACAGAGACAGTTAGAAAACAAGGATGGGCATAGTACACGATGCAAAAATAGAATATCAGGTGATCAAAAATGGTTACCATTGTGCCTCTTGCTATTTTTAAAAAGAGTTGCTATATCATCAGGTATAATAGAATTGATCAAAACTGTACAGAACAAGACCAAAAAAACCTACACTGGAAACCTTGCAAGACTTCAAAAGAAGATAATAGTCAAACTATAATGGGCCATCATAATAAATCTTATGGCCTTCAAAGTGGTTGTCTATACGCTCAAACTTGATATTATCAAACAAAATAGAATATAGTAAAATCAGACAGAACAAGATGTGGAGAGCAATACTGGGGTTCAAATCAGGTTAATAGGAAAACAAATAGTTACTATAATATATCCCAATATTTTTAAATTTAGTTTTCCCTTAATTGAAAAAAATAAAAAAAGTTTAATTTTAAAAAAGGGTGGAGATTGACATAAAAGAGGATATTGTAATAGAACAACACTGGTCAGAATGGAACAATTTAAGCATAATTGTGTTTCACTCCCAGATAATCTAACATAATAGTAGTCACCATAATGCCTCATTCCTTGAATTATTTGAGTATAACTTCGTATACGATAGCATCAAACATATCAAGACAGTGTGAAGCCATTCAACAGAATGAAAGAATTACAGGGTATTTAGAACCAGTTAACAGAAAACAAACAATGGTTTCTATATTATCTCCTTGCCTATAAAATTTTTCTTTATACTATCACATATAGTAAAATATAGTAAGATACAACATGTTAAAACCAGTGGAAATAGTTTGTTAGAGAGGGACCATTCTTGCACCACTGAGATTGAGTCCAGTGTTGATCATGTTGGTTAATTTTGAATATGCTGGTGAGATAACGTTGCAAACATTTAGCTGAACACTTTTGTTTATGTTTGGTAGGAATATTAGCCAACAGAGTGTTTTCATTTATATTGTTTTTAACACATTATTGTCTGGGTTCATTCTCAGGATAACTTTAACTTTGTCACTTAAAAGAAGTTGGTGGTGGGTTTTTCTTCAACTTCATCAAAGAACTGAAAAAAAATCAGTATTTATTCTTTATTATATACTGTATAAAATTCACCAGTGCACTTTTTGTATCCCAGCTTTGTTGTTGTTATTAAGAAGCTGTGATTTTTACCCATTGCCTGTGCTCCTTATTGCTCTGTTCATCAGACTGTTTCCTTCTGATGCATGTGGTTTGGGGACATCAATGGACACCACATATCCATTAAGGGTCACATCTCATTTTACTTACAAATGCTACCATTTATATTGTATCTTCAAACTATCTCTATAATATATAATTTTGTGAGTAACTCCTTTCAGTTACTCAGAATTAATGCACATTCTTGCATGGTGTGGTTACTGCTGGAGGAAACTGGGCCTGGTGAGGGCCTGGTCTCTAATTTAAAGCTTCATACCCTGACCTGCCTGCAGTGTACCGATCTCCTGACCTGCTCCCTGTAAACACCTGTCCTGCTCCATAACTATGGTGAGTCCACATGTGGCAGTTCAGATCTGTACCTGGGTGGAAAACATTCAGTCAAGTTGGGCTCTCTAAGAGACTGACCTCATACAGAGCTCCCCTGAGTGAGAGAGGGGGCCTCAGGCATGTAGGGAGGAGCTCTGGAACCATTCCAGCTCTCTCCTGTGCAGCGTACAGTGTGTGATGCTTTCCTCAGAACTTACTGATGGATGAGGAGGCCTGCACCAGGCTGTTTTAAGCCATGGTGTCCTACACCTCTGCCTGGACCATCTCTCTGACTTTAGATCTCCACATAGATCTGAGCAGACTCAGTCTTCCTCTACCAGGCTCTAACTTTATGCTGAGGTTTCAGGTGAAAAATCTGAGATCCTCAAATTAATCTTATATATATTTAACCTGGAAATTCCACTTCTAACAGTCATTATAAAAATGAGATTGACAGACACTGCATTCTCTTCTTAATCAGTTAAGATGTAGACTGTTAGAAAC